TTTGTTGTTTTTTGATACCAAACCAAATAAAGAATATATATAGTTATATATATATATATAAAGAGTCACTATCCTGAGGATAACATCCTCCCCAAATCTAGGTCAGGAAGCAAGGACGAAGAGAAGACACCACCGCGGGCCGCATTGTCGCACCCGATGGGCAGGAAGCCAAGGTCACGTTCAAAGGTTTGTGACAATAGCAGCAAGCAGTTCTCTGTTCTCGGGGACCATAAACATGCCAGATGGTCGGGTTTCTGTCACAAGCCACAAGCCACACGTCACGCCCTGCCGGCAGTCATCATGTCTATCAATGTGACTTGGTGATGAGACAGGTAACGCAGTATGCCCCTGAGTGGCTGGTGCACGGATGCAATGGGTATTTCGCATCTTCGACTGCTAGACCATGTGTTATGTGGGCTGGGGAGTCTCAGCGTGGAACCGAAGCTATGGAGGAGGAAGCAGCCTGTTGTTTTGATGAGTTGTGAGCTTGGTTGTCATTCGATTATAGTGGTGTAGTGGAGCGCCGTATTTTGTCCCCCGGGCAATTGAGATCGACCATGGATCTTCACACATTGAGAACGGGCTGGCCAGATGATTCGTCTCGTGTAGGACTGATGGCGACCTCCCCGCTATGCCCATTCAGGCAGCCATTCATTCCCAGATCCCAGGTCTTGTCCGCATCATGTTATCAATACCATAGAAATGCAACTGAAGGAAATGGTCCAGAATGGCTCGGCACCGCGACCGGAACTGCGAGCCGGAGCCCCAGCCAATCCCTATTTCCCTCACCAGGTCGTGAAATCTTCCGGTAAACCAGCCGTCATTCTCGTCGTTATCGACCGTGTAAGAGGAAGGAGAAGAAGCAGTCGTGCTCGAGCTCGACGAGATTATTGACTGTTCCGCCATGGCGCCAGTCCAAACAATCCACAGCCAGAGTCGTCGTCGAGGGTTGGGGCCAATCTGTGGCGGCTCCGCCGACATGTTCATATGGGCAGCGGCGTCGTAAACCGTCAGGATCTGTCGGAGCCGGTTCAACATGACGGGGTTCCACGCAAACAGCCTCGTATGTTCCGTCATCCGGAGATTCTCGATCCCGCACAGCTCGCGAAGCCAGTATATCGCGCAGAGTGTGGCAGCGGCAACTTCAAGTTTCTGCAGCGTGGCAGAATCCATCAGCGCGCGCATCTCCTGGCAAAGTGTCGTAGCAACATCGAGGTGTGCGTAAACGTTCATCAGCCTCCCAACCGTCATTATCGTTTTCGAGACGGCGTAAACCCACGCCTGACAACTAGGAGAGTTCTGGCTACGAATCTTCGCAATCATATCGATCATTGCTTGGGCGTCAAGGAACAAAGCACGGATGTCACCTTGCAGATAGGAATCCAAGTTTCGGTCTGCATCTGACCTCGATGTCGACAAGTACGGCGAGACATCCTCCCACAGAGGCAGGAGCTGTTTGTCGACCCACCCGTCAGGACTGAGGTCAACAGACGCTATGGAGAAGTTCATGACGGCAGACTGAACCTCGAGGTATATTATACCGATGTAGTGGTGGAGATTGAAGGAGGGATCTGCAAAGACTTCATCCTGGTGCGTGGCCAAGATGTCCTTGAGGACGGTAACGTGTTGATAAAAGGCCTGTCTGTCCCCCAAAGAGCTATCGGCGAAGAGCAGCATCAGAAGCGCACGGTAGAGTCGCGGAATACTGATGTGAGGAGTTGTGGTCATGTATTCTTTGAGAGAGGCAACTCCCCGATACCGCAGACTGTGTGCTTCATCGAGGTGCACGGTGTTTGCCGTGACCATGTACCTCGTGGCCGCGATTCGAGACAGATAGCTGTGGTTCGCAATGCTGTCGTACAGATAGGCTTTGCTTTCGGCGATCCACCTCTCGGTGAAAGGACTTTGGTTGGGAACATGCTCTTTCGCTGCCACACGCAGCTCGACTTCTCTGACGGCCGGAAGGACACAGCTCCGCTCAAAGTCGAGGAGCGAGCTGGTCAGGGTCGTAAGCTCCTCCTGGAAGGCGGACGAAGGGCCGAAGTTGCTGTTGCCGTTGCTGTTCAGCAGGACGACGTCGAGTAGGGGCGGGAGGCTGCGGATCGATGATCTTGCCGAGGAAGGAGATGCTTGGGCTGGTCTAGGAGGGAGTCTCTCCTTACGGCTGGCGCGGCTGGGGACCACCTTCAGAGGTTTCAACTGAGGATCGACGGCTTCATGGAACCGGGACGATTCGAGAAGCCGACGGGCATCTTGTCCCTTTTTCCAGCGACGATAGCCGTGTACATGGCGCGTCACCCTCTGGCGGTGTGGGAGAGTGCTCAAGCTCGACGCATCGACGTTTACGAAGGAGAAATCGCCCTGAAATCCCGGACCCGGACCCGGATCAGAAGACATGACACGACATGGACGGCAGCAAAGATATGAAGCGAAAAGAAGTCGAACAAACAATCACACATCCTCGTCATGGCAAAGGAAAAGATACAAGGGAAAAGCAAAAGCCACAACTGATTGATCTGCAGTCAGAATGCACAATGCTGCTGTTGAGCTCCTTCGTACGAGCCAACTGGGCGGAAACAACGGGACGCTGTGCAAAGGGATTGTTTGAAGCGGCGACATCTTCTGACCGACCGAAGCTTTCAGTTTCCGGGAAATGGCCCTTTTAGGGGCGTGGGTTGTGAGCCACGCCTCCTGGGGTCGTTCCTGGGGGTGAGTCTTTTTTTTTCCGTCCGTGTGGCAATTTCCCATCCTCCAAGAATTCCTGTCGACCGTCTTCCTTGGGTTGGGGCTGTGGCTGGGCATTGCATTGCATTGCTTGCCCTGGATTGCTTGCCATGGCCCTTGTAATCTCTCACCGCAGCCTCAAGGGGAAAGGGGACAGCGGTGGTGTCGGTCCAATCACGAATATGCGTTTGCGAAAACGAAAAGCCACCAGGCTGATATGCATATTTTGTGGAGACCTCGAGAGCACGGCGACCGGGCTTAGTCACCTGGCGACTACGAGTAACTTGTATTTAGGATTCATTTCTCCTCGAGAAGCGTGGGGGAACATCTTGGCCTCGTCTTCTGAGGGGCGGAGGACAGGTTTCTCAAAGGAAAAGGCATTGAGAGAGGTTGGATGGTTGTGATGGAAATATATTTGACGACGCACCATCAGAAGACTAGACTATACAAAGTGGACGTTCATCACTGCGAAGGACGAGGTCCCAAGCAGACCATTCACAAATGTCAACTACTGCCACCCATTGACCATCGTGACGCCAGAAACCGACATCGAAAGAATTTGATGCTAGGACCGGGACAACTAACGCCTAGTGTGCAAGGACAGCGAAACAGGAAACTCAGATGTCAATCTCAGGGGAGATGCAGCAGGTCTTCAAACTCGGGGAGCTCAAGCGAGTCCGGGGTCGGCAACGACTCGGCTCCGCTGCCGTTCATGGTTCGACTCTGACAGAAGAGGCTCTGGTGCTCGGCAGAGACAGACAGTGGTGGCGACAAGGGAAAAGCGTCGAATTGCTGAAACTCGGTCGACGGGGTCCTCGGGACTCGGGAAATCGATGCCATCATGTCCTGTTCCGAGAACATCGAAAAGGCTGCGATCTGAGTGCGGAGGTGTGCGATCTGGCTCTTCAACTTCGTCACGGTTTCAGCTTGCTGAGAGTACGAATCCAGCAGCCGTCGATGCTTCTGGCCGAGCTGCTCCAAAGTCGCCTTGAGATTCCGGAGGTGCTTCTCTTTGCGTTCGCGGAAAGCACGTTGAGACGCTCGGTTCTGAGCTCGACGCCTCTGCATGCCGTCTTCTGTTAGAATTGTGCTTCAACTATTCCAAACATCGTGCAATCTTCTGACAGACCTCGTCAAAGATACCAAGGCTGGTCTATTTGGGAGGCAATTCGGCAACACCACTTGACTTACCATCTTCGTCCTGGATTCTGCTGGTGGTTCCGAATCCGTGGATGTAGACGTGTTGGATTGCTCCATAGCTGAGGCGTCGACATCACCAATCATAGTCAATCCATTCAAGGCGACAGAGCCATCGGCGTCGCTGGAGAAGATGTCCGGGACGTCCAGACTGCCGAACTGGTGGATCTCGTCCAGGAGCTGACACTGGCTGTCAATACTGGTATCTTGCCCTCTGAGACTGTCCCAGACTTACGTCGAGATCGCCAAACTCGCTGGGGTCTACGAGGAACAGTTCCGAGGGAGTGAGTTTCGAGATGTCGGGGAGGCTGTCAATGTGTGAGGTGTCCATGACTGTCCCGGGTATAGTTGTAAGAAGCTTGTCTGTGGAGTGAGACTGGATCTGGGATTGATGACCTTGACCCAAGCAAGTGAAGATGTTTGAAAAACTGAAAAAAACTTATTGAGAATCGAAAAAAACACAAGCTTGATATCAAGTCCCCAGTCCCCAGTCGAGAACAGACCTGGCTTTACATAAGATTTTGCGATTGCGGATCTCGAGAGGGTCTTTTCTTCGTTCGATAATGCCATCACAAACCTCGCAAACCTTGCCCGACAAGCCTCTTATTGTACCATGTATCCCTGCAGCCTGCAAGGGAGGGCACAAGCATAGCAGTCGAGGCGCTGAACAAGGGCCATGGAGGGGAGGGGTGCCAAGGGGAGGAGAGGGGGGGCCTTGCTGTCGAGGGATTCCCTTTTAGGAAAGTCCTAGTGGAGGCTTGGCCCCGTCTGCACTAGCGAGTGACCAATGACAAATGAGCTTTGCTCTTCCGCATGCGGCATGGTGGTATTACATTGCAGGTTATAGCGGCATGTTGGTACTTTACTCGTAGTTTAGTACAAGTAGGTAGAAAAAGGCACGCACGACAATACGCGGGACGAGAAGACCAAAAAAAAACCCCCCCTCGCTCGCAGTGGGTTCTTCTGCATTATTGATGACCCTCGTAAACCTGTGCGGACCCCTTGAGCCTTGGTGACCCGCTCGTGTAAGGAAGTAGGTAATCAATCAGCTTTTCCAGAACTTCCCCTACCAACCCCGGCGACTGGCACCAGCTCAAAGTCCCCGATAGTAGTCCCTGGCTAGCCCTGGCTCGTGGTTGAATTTCGGCTTCCTCGAGGCAATTACCAGAAAAAGACGCAAACTTCGTGCGCGAGGCGGCTTAGGTAAGTATCGTACTATGTACAATAGGCAGTTGGTCTCCCGGGTGAAGGTACCTAGGGCGTGCTAGAGTGTCATCCAAACCCCATCGACATGACCTCTAGTAGCTTCACGCCTCACATCCAAACACATCCGGAGATGCCAAGTTTCAAGTTCGACTTGGCCTACCACCTACCTACCTGGTATGCAGAAGGGGCGGGCGTATTGGGATGGCCCAGAGGCTGACTGATCACCACTTCCAGTAAAGTTCCATAGCAGATTATCCGCGATAGGAAAGCCACGACGTCATTGAAAAATGAAATACCTTTTCTCGTCACTCGTAATAAGGTGGCAGGCAGGGTGGGTGCCCTATGATCCAAAGGGGGAAAGTGCCACCCCCTCCCCCCTCCTTCCCTAACCGTCCGCGCAGTCAGGCAGTGCGAGAAATATTGCTGAATCATTCTCTGGGCATCATCGTTCAATGGGCGACAGTGTCTGTTTTGGACGCATCGAGATGGGTTGGCTCTGCGACGCTGGAAATCGCCGTGGACCTGATACCCGCCTGGCTACACACACATACACCCATGCATGCATGGATGGAGACGGAGACTTGGGAGGGAGGGGGGTGTGCAGCAACCGACAAACGAGATCTCAACAGGTGGCATCCACCACCCTACCTCGTATTTTGACGAGGCTTTCGGGGCAAGGGAAATGGTTCCCGGGATTTATTAGTGCGGGACACAAAAAGAGTACGAGACACAACTTTTTACGCAAGGTATGTAGCGAGGTAAGGTATATCAAGGTTCGTCGTTGTCTTCCGCACCCGATGAATGAATGGCTAAAGTAGACATAAACCACACACGCACGCACGCACGCACGCACTACGGACCCGCACGAACATGCATGCTTAGGGGCTGCAGCCGATGTCCAAAGAGCTATCTTCTGGAATTTGAATTAAGCCGCATAATTATCCCAGTTACCCAGTTACCCAGGCTGCCAGGACCCATACCCACGACCCAGGATGTCTTGCCCGCTAGATTTCATGTTCAGCCCCCCAATGTGAACGGCGACTAAAGTGTACGGGACGAGGAATAGGGGACCATAACGACGCTATTACCTCATGACAGCATCGCATGCCGTCGGGAACGCTACTGTGCACTCATTGCCCCAGGCCCTTCTTGATAGACCATCTCCCACACCTCGTAAGCTTCACGTGAAACATCGATATCCGGGATTCAACATGAGGGAGAGACAGAAAATTCAGCCTCGCAGGAGATATTGGCAGTCAGCACAAATGCTCTCCCCGCAAAATATTTGTGCTTGTGCTCGTATTCCGCACAGATGTCGCTGCAGTCAGCAGCCCCATCTTCCCTTGGGAGTATTTCTTAAGGCCACCCCCTCCCAAGATGCACGGGCGAGTAGCACTGGCCCGCTTCGGCGAGCAACAATGGTGAAACTGGACCAACGGACGTGTGATGTGGCAGCAGATGCTAGCAGCGTTTTTGGTGGTAGGGCAGCACCGGGTTCTAGGCTCTAAGCTCTGGGTTCTGGGCTCTGGGCAAACCCGAATGCAGACTCGTAGACCTCGTAGAAGCAACACAGCCCGCCGTGCCGCCCAGGCCTCGAGCCCATAACTGGAAACCATGTGTTTCCGCCTTTGGAAAATGGTCCCAGACTAGGGCTTGGCCAGCACATGTAATAGTTTCAACATGTGCATCCATTCAAATGGGAAGCAAAGTGCGCGCTGCCCGCCACCACCGTCACCGTCACCACCACCACCACCACCACCACCACCACAACAACATCTCCTCAATTGGACGGAGCCAGGGCAGCGACATTCCTCGAGGTACCCCCGTATGCACGTTCGTTTATCGAAAATTGGACAGACGATGGCTTGCAGCCACATCCCCCCAGAGAGGAAGTGAAGTCGTCAACGCCCATTGGAAAAGCCAGGAAACGAGGGAAAACGACACTGCAATGCAATGCAATGCGACGGGGGCGAAATGCAAAGAATAGGTTCGAAAATACTCTCCTCCAGAGCGCCTCGTGGTCGATGGTTGGATGGCACCGTATTCTCTTCTGGGAAATAAATATGTGTGTCGCCTGGCCCTTCTCTTATCGTACGAGGTACTTCTACCCCAGTAGGCAGTACTGGCAGGGCATTGCCATCCTTGCTCGTTCGCTTTACCCGCATTCCCGCCGCGATTGGGCAGCCTCGTGCTTCATGTCTCGTAGTAATAAGCGGCAACTACTACCGTTTCTGTCCAAGGGGTGGTGCTCGGGCAGGTCGACGAGCCGAGCAAACACGATACAAGACTTTCGTCCCCAAAGTTGGCTGGTGGGCAACTGCACAACAAGTCGAAATCCGTGCACAAGACACCTCGGAATGAGAGATCACAGAGCGGTGGCTGGGTGATACCGAGTCATCAGTCACAAACAGCATTTTTCATCCGGCAACCTCAGTATTCCTCGAAGCACTGGATCCAGGTGCAGCGCGATTTCTATGCGATTTTCTACCTAGATGCAAGATGAACCATCTATAAAGACGAACATGCGCACCTCGAAACCCAAAGGTTCGAACTCGCCGAGCGAGCCCTCGAGGACCATTCTGATCCTGTCACTCCTCAAAACCACAGAAGCCGTTTGCTCGTGTCACCCTGTACAGCCCATGGAGGAACAGACGTGCAAATGTCCGGATAAAGCAGTCGCTCCTAATCTCGACGACTTGCAGCCCTCCACGAAGATCTTGATCTTTTGACATCAATTATTAAAGCCACCAGCGCTCCCTCCATCACAGCTTCGCCTTGTCGCCGACCGCACCGATCTTCAACTTGGGGCCATACTTCTTGAGGACCGACTCGTTGTGGTACTATGTCCTGCGTCAGCTTCGACTGCTCATCAATTGTCTCACGGGAAGCGCGTCCGCTCACCTTCCAGAATTGTTTTGAAGCGTCCTTCCCGCACACTCGTTTCAAGATCTTTGCTCCGCCGGGGTGCTCGTCCACAAAGTTTGTCACATCATACACTGCCCCGTCGATGATGACGTACATGCCGTCTTTGGCCGTGGCCGTGTGCTTGGCCACATCGGCGGCGGTGAATGTTTTGGACATGTCGAAAATATTGTGTGAGGTGGCGTTGTGCACGGGGCTGCTGGCGACCGATGTTTTAGGAGGAACTTCTTTCGCTTGGCTCTTTTGGTCGAGATGGAGGTGTGAGAATAGCCGTTCAAAGGACAAAAGGCACCAGTCGTGTGCCGAGGGCTGTCGCTATGCGGGAAGGCGGAAGGACTGCGGGATGGGTTTGTTCAGCGACAAGAGAGTCCGCGACTAGAACAATGGTATATACAATCGCGCAGGAGGTGGTGACAGCGTCGTAGAGTACTCTATAACAGAGGAAATGAGAAAAACAATCATCTGAGATGACCGCAGGCGGGAATATTAATCGTCGACCGTAGAAGCGAGCGATGAACAGCGGCGGGAAAGTTACCGAGGTCCAGGGCTTCGCAGGGGGGTCCACGCCGAATCCGCGGCCCGGTCAGCCAAGTTCAGAGCGACGCCATTGGATCCCAGCCTGCGCCCGCACACTGCGCCATACCATATTCACCGTTAATGTACTCGGTTTTATTCTACCCAGAGCACATTCCTCCAGAGTAACCGAAATAATTCGAATCGCTGACATCTGATACGCGGGGAATTTGCCCAGTGGGCAGCTTTGGACACCGATTGGCTTGGAAGACCATATCTGTGGGAGAGGGGATCTATAGGTACATACCTCATAGGATCATGGATTGTCGTCGACTCATCGCAGCGCCCTTGGTAGATCGAACACGATACAGGGATATCCTTACCCTGGTATGGCCTAAGGCTCTGGTACCGACAGCCTTCCATACGGCTCTGGTACCGACAGCCTTCCATACGGCTCTGTTCCTCGTGTCCAAACTATATGACTCCCACACATTCCTCTGGTTCATGTTCGCTTACTCTGCTTGTTCCGTGAGAGTGGTACAGACTTCCTCTGCTCTTTACGTAATATCCCACTCCAAGCGTTGTGGACTTTACACCGTCATTGTGCGTTGTTCGCGGAAGCCTTGCACGACCTCGTTCGTGGTATTTCGACTCTTTGTCCGAATCTCGACGAGATAAGTGCAGTACCGTGTCCCCGGGTAAACCGCCAGCCTTTTCAAAACCAGGCCTGACTCACCGGTAGTCAAGGACATGGACTTGCGATCAGCAGAAGATGAGAAAGCCATGTCTAGCTGAGCAGGCTATTGGATAACAGGTGACACGGGAGCAACAACCCCGTCTGCTTTGTAACACATCCGACGCCGCCCAAATGATTTCCTCATCTCACAAAGAGACAGACACACGGCCCCATGGTAATAACTACCGGTGACGGAAGCAATGTAGTAAGTAAGTAGCGTCGCCGTCCCGCATCATCAGTCTTCTTTTCTCGTGTCAAAAATTCGCCCCCTCCCAACAACCACAGCCTTGCTTATTGGACCGGGGCTAGACGATACCACAGGAACCAATCGTATGGCGTATGCCGCAGCCTTGCAGCTGGGGGCTTTGACCTAGGCTCATTTAGGCATTCGCACCATCCCTATCGGGACTGGGGCGGGAGATGGAGGTTTCCCTAGTGGCGCATACGGCGGTCTTCGATGAGCAGGTGGTATATACAGCGATCGAGGCGCCGCATTTTCTTCGTCTCTTCTCCGCTGGGAAACATTTTCTCCCTTTCCTTCCTCTCCCAAGAGAAGAGAAAAAGCTTGGTCTCCCATATTGACGCGATTTCACTTCGAAAGAACCAAACGAAAAGGACAAGATAATATATACAGGGCAATGCTTTTTGATGGTGAATCGCCCGCAGAAACAGCACCATGCTCATCGTCACTAGTACGTTTCACCTCCGACAAACTCTCTCTGCGACGCTGACCTCGCTAACAACAGATTGTGGACGAGGAGGCCGAGCTGGATCTTGGAGACGGCCATATGGACTTCGGCATCTATGACCTCGCAGCAGCGACGTCGACGCCATATGTCCCTGGAGTAGGGACCACAGCCCGCACAACGCCATATGAGACGGAGAGCAGTGGATCCTACGTGACCAGTCCGGCGACGACGACCAATGTCAGATCGTCGAAGCCACGGAGACGAAAAGCGCGCATGAACGAGGTCGATGAAGAAACCCAATCAGTAAGGAATCCCCCATATTTCACTCTCCCAAACTACACAACCCATGTACAGGGGGCTCAAAAAAAACGAAATCTAATGCGAAAAATCCACAGCGTCGTCGAGCCCAGAACAGAGAGTCCCAACAAGCCTACCGCCACCGCCGAGAGGACTACATCCACAACCTGCAGAGCCGGATTGTCGATCTGCACCTGCGGCACCGCGACCTGTGGCAGTCTTATTACTCGCAGGACAGGAGGTTGAGCCTGTTGAGAGAAGTGGCTGCCGATCTCAGCATGGAGGTCAATGTGCTGCGGAGGCGGCAGTCGGAGAGTCAGCAGCATCAGCATCAGCATCAGCGACAACAGCAAAACCACCTCCTACTAACGCCTGACCACTCGGTCTGCCTCGGCGACGAGGGCGACGGGATCACCAGCCTACGCGTAAACGATTCAATCTACGAGTACACCGTGAGTCCATCACACTATATCCAAGGTGACGGCATGGACTTCCCAGCACAGAGCCAGAGCCAGAGCCAGAACCAAACGGAGGGTCAGAATCAGAACCTGCAAAATTGGCTTTCCGGAACAACAGGCACGTATCCGCCCAGTGGTAGTTCCGAGTACATAGACCTGGCGTGATAGAAAACAATTTCCGGTTTTTGAGAAAGTACGACGGGCGCGGGGAGAGAAGGAAAGGAAGTCGCACAAGGTGGCAGGAAAGCGGCTGTAATCCCGTGTTGAGCCAGTTGGGTCCATGCTCCTGGGGGGGCAGTAATGAGTTATCGGACGAAATATGTATGACAACGTGTGGCGCAGAGCATGCTCGAGCTTTAAGTCAAGGAGGGGAACCCATAATTCGATAGCATGCCACCATGTCATGCCACCATGCCATTCCTTTCAAGACTCGATGAACCACAACAATTCATCCACAAACCCCCCAGGATTCTCCTCGGCGAAGAAAATGTCCAGAATCCGGGGACCACATCCAGCGTGACGTCTTCGTAGAACTCCTTGGCCATGGCACACGCCTCGTCCGCGGTCATGATACTCGTGTCCTCGACCAAGAGCATGTTGGAGTAGACGTCTCGGTAATTTCGAGCCTGATCAGCGAGAGAAGAGCTGATAGTTAAGAAGGTAAGGTGCTCAGGATATACATACACGAAGGGAAAACGTTCCATGGCATGCTCCTCTGGGCATCGCCCCGTCATTGATTACCTGTCGATCCCAAACCAGTGGTGAGGGGATGCAAAGCTCTCCCAGCTGTTTCAGCGTCATGTCCAGCGTCATGAGAGATGGCTCGAGAGAAAGCTGAGGGATAGGCCTGCGGAAATGTATATCCGGAGTATGGTCCCCTGAAATGAACCATGGCCAATAGAGACCAAAGATCAAGAGGGAGGTCCGTATTGAAACAGGGTATATTGCAACAAAATCCACGTTACCTCTTGACAAGAGCAAACAAATCGAAAACAGGTACCCCCCAGCCTCCAGGGCATAAAGTCACGAGATCTTTGCCGCTGGTGTATCGCCATAGACAAATCCCTCCCCAAGGTATATGGTTGCGCCTCCGCCGTACCATAGAGTGCCGTTTCGGAAATCGAGACCCTTTTCCTCGCCCACAACCCACTCACCCCCTGGCATGATCAAGTGTCCTTCTTGAGGCCAGTATTCCGCTTCAAGCCACTTGTTGATCATTTCAAGCTCACCGATCCATCGTTTTCGCTTCTTGATGTCAAGAGTCACGCTCTCGTCCAACGGATCTCCTCCGAACACGTTGGGGGAGTTGAACCTCGCAATTGTGAGATGAGCCGAAGGCACAACGTATCTGGAGCCAACCTGGATCCCCGAATCTGTTATAGTAGCGTAAGTATCGCGGCGCAAATGGTGATATGTGTATCGATCATCATCGGCTGTCCGACCATTCGACGGTGACTCTCCTGCAGCCGGCACAAAGCTCAAAGCAAGAGCCGCCGAGTCGTAGCTCAGAAGAGGTTTGACAAGCCTAGCTCTATGCGAGGAGGTATGATCTGCGATCGACTTGCAGTGGTCTTTGAGTGTATTCATCAGGCCAGTAATCTCAGCTTCGGTCTTGGAGTGGGCGACTTCCATCACCGTCATATGTAGATTGTCAAGAGGCATGAGCCAGAGATCTGTATGGTGAGTTGTGCGAACCCTCTAGGATTCTGGGAGCATACCTGGAGCGGCATCCTTCAGCTTGGACTGTATGACATCTACCAGTGTCTTGACTCTCTGAGGTGGTCTCCCCCAGAAGACGAGACAGTGACGTGGGTCTATGTACGATAGATCCTTCCTGGGTCCATCGAGCTTGACAAGATGCTCGTCGAGGATCCAGCCTTTGAAGTCGTCGCTGAGGATTTTCTCTCGTTGCTGCGCATTCCGCGTTGTCCGATGTGTAGCATACCGCTCTTGGATCAGTTTCTGGGACCATACATTAGATAGAATCACACCATACAGACGACCAAGACTGACAGGGTCACCATGGCAAGCATTGATCAGGCCGTCGAAAGGGTTTGCAGTGACAGGAGTGGAGCTACCGGACAGATCTTCAAAGTTGACTTTGGCCATGGCTTCTCCTGCCACCTGCTTCTCTGGTCGGCCTGACCAAGATGGAGGGGTCGAAGACGAGGTTGAAGAGTTGCAAGCAGTGACGCGTAGTGGGGAGATGATAGTGTAGGTTCTTTTCGGAAGAAAGATGTTCCATGATTTCATTACTAAGCCAGAACGTATCGGAAAACCTGCCCTAATACCCACTGTCCGCACATTTTCGCACTGTGCGTCTTGGCATATGGCTGCGGTTTGCGCTCAATCCTCAAACTGCCAGTCGACACCTTCATTTGCAATAACCAAACCTTGCTCAAACCTTTGCGGCCAGTCACTTAGTCAAGATGGTGAGTACCTTCTGTCACGAATTTGCGATGCCTTGCGTTATACCCCCGTGATATACACGCTGGGGTAGTGGATCGGCGAGACGAACGATGAAGAGATGGAGTACATTGCGAAAAGAGACGGGAACAACGAGGTCAACACCTGCATAGATTCGGACCGAGAAATCGAAACGAGTGTCTCGTCCAGAACTCGACAAGATCCTTTGAGCGGTGCAATTGGCGGCTCTTTGAACACATCAATTTGATCAAACTGCGAGTCCGCAAAGTATTTGACAATGCTAACCAATGTCTCGTTTCATCAGGTCAACGTTCCCAAGACTCGCCGCACCTACTGCAAGGGCAAGACCTGCAAGAAGCACACCCAACATAAAGTCACACAGTACAAGGCCGGCAAAGTACGATATTCCCTTCGCCCGCCGGGGCATAAGACATGGGGATGAGAGGACGCTGACAAATATTGGATAGGCCTCGCTGTTCGCGCAAGGAAAACGTCGATATGACCGCAAGCAGTCCGGTTACGGTGGTCAAACGAAGCCCGTGTTCCACAAGAAGGCCAAGACAACCAAGAAGGTGGTGCTGAGATTGGAGTGCACAGTATGCAAGACCAAGGCACAATTATCGCTCAAACGATGCAAGCATTTCGAGCTGGGGTATGTCATCGACCTGCCAAGTGAGAATGCCATGCTGACATGAATTTTACAGTGGTGACAAGAAGACGAAGGGTGCGGCTCTTGTGTTCTAAACGTGGTGGTTTTGCGATGGTCCTTTGGGCTGGCGAGATACATGGCACGAGTGTGATCAGGTGGTCAAGATTCATCTCAGAGAATCAACAGGTCGTGATAAATCCGGCAGATGGAGATGAGATGGAGATACAATCCTGCACGGTCATATGCGTGATGCGCACACGGGTTCCAATATTCTGCTTGGGTGTCATCTAGACTGACGCTCTGTATGGGCCGGCAACATTCTGATGACCAACGCCCGCAATTGAATGTTATGTCCGCCTGTTCCGTGCATATTGAGTCCAGTTGCCCAATCTGTTTCAAGTTCGCATCACCCGTAGGTTGACCTCGCCCTTACCGACCCAAAGAGGGCGTCTAAGAGCATCTACGAATTTGGACTCGACATTAACTACACAGTGTTATTGTGGTAGAGAAGCCAACGAACAAAGGTGCTTTACCCGTGCCCGTACCTAGGTCTTGAACCCGTTCAACTGTTTGTTCATGGCCTCTGGTGGTGGCTACAGCAGAACAACCGACTCGCCGATCCGTGCATCCTCTAACGGGAAAGTCGGCACGCCGAATACGTCGCTCCAAATACGAGAACCACCACCACTGCCACCTGACCTTGAAAGTATATACTGTCACCAGCGTTAAGTTTACCCCACGAATAACCAACTACTTGCCTCTAAATAGGTCTGTAGCCCCTACAAGTCTTCTCAAGGCAACCAAGAACAAATGACGCATCCCAGACCGAACGGCCGAGCCTTTCTGTACAACCAACCTCTCTTCACTCTCATCACTCTGCCTCATTGCTGATCAGAAGACGATTTGTTCTATTAATATCGATTTCACTCAGAGAGTGAGAGATCAGCGTTCCAACGGTCTGTTCTAGAATCCGACCACATACCACAAGTACTCTGTATTGTACGTTGTAGGACACAAGCGCCAGGTAGGAGCGGAAGCACAGCAACCAAGTCAGCCGTCCAATTTGGTCAGAAGTTGAATCGGAGTCGCAAATACCCGTCCTCCCTACCTTTCTTGCTTGACATATCTTCGTCTCACGCGTCTCTGAAAGTCCGAAGCTACGAATTGTAAGAGTTGGTAATAACAAACGGCTCGAATACTATCGCCGAATTTACGAGAAAGCATTGAGACATAATCCACGCTTGAACCGTCCTAACCTACCGGGATCGAAGGTCTTCATTAGGGCTCTCGACGAGATCAAACTATTCTTGAGCCGTGTCAATCCATCCCTTCAAAGTTGACACCATCTCTCAAGCACGTCTCTCCCCCCCCCCCCCCCCCCCCCTGCGG